AGGTGAGTCCTCCCACATACCTCCCAGGTCTTTGCGTTGATTTTTCGCTCATTTTGTGGCGGAATTTTTTTGTACCTGATGAGTTTTTTAATTTCATGTTTACCATATCGGAGTAACTGAAATTTTTATCGTGAACATATTACAAATATAATTTAAAGAGAGAAAATTACCCCCCTTCCCGGTGGCTAAAACTTTCGCTTTTTATACGGCGAGGGGGCTGGGTTTGATTCCCGAGGGCAGAAGCTTGGGGGTTTTTTTTACACCGGTTTTCTATATTCACCCCCTTTGTAAATGGGTACCGGGTGTTGTTGGGGTGGTTGGGTGATCCCGGGACAAAACTACCTAATTTTGCCCTTAAAAGCCTTGCTAAAAACTATTCTATTATAGTTGTCAGCTAGGGCGGGGTAACATGTACTGAGAAATAAAGTATTATATTATTTTATTATAGGGAAAACCCCCCCAAAAAGTAAGTGACTTATTTCCTTGGGGTGAATTATAACTTTAGTACTTTATCTACATCGGTTTACTTTAAAACAATAAAATAAATAACAAAACATAAATTAATTACAAGTTATTAAAAAGAGTTTTCAGAAAAATACGTATTTATGGATATTTTTGTAAAGGGGGAGCCCGCTAGTGAAATTGTCAGTTTATTTTTTTACACGAATTATACGAATAATAAAATTTTACTCATTTTAAAAATTTTTTTAATTTTACTCAAAGAAAAAATTCTAGGAATTATAAAGTAAAAAGTGTTGCTTCTTGAAAGAATATTATCAAAATAATTTTGAGAATAAAAAATCCTAATTGAATTTTTTTCGTTGATAAAAATATTGAAGTATTTTGAACCCAATTTTTTTTTTAAAGTAGTCTTTTTTTTAATAATTTTCGTATTATGACCGAAATTATCATAGATGGATATTTTAGTTTTTGAAAGGTGGAGAGTTAGTGGTGTGAGTTTCCAGTGGGTGAATAATATTTGCAAAAGCAGGTGGGGGGTCCCTTTATGGTGCTGAGCTCACGAACGGTGCAATGCTGTGGTGTTTTTCATCGAGTTCATCCAACCCCCGCTTACTCATCCTTCCCCCCTCCTGGCTCATAACTTCCACCCAAAGCCCTGCAAATTCGTCCCCCGGGATCCCCAAGACCGGTAAACCCTTGAGATTCTTGTGTTATTGTACGATAAAATGAGAGGTTTGTATCAGTCGGCTCAGCCTTTCCGGGGGCCTTTTGGGGGTAAGGTACCCAAATATTAATGAAACCTTATTTGTCATGTACATTACCATCGTGAAACATGTTGGTCAGTTTGCGGTAACCCCTTCCCATGCATTTGGAAAAAAAGAAAGAAAATTTTTAAAGTATTATATTATTAAAGGGTGGTGTTCACTCCCCGGGTTTTCCCCTTTTATTACAATTAAATTATGAAAATTTTAATTTAAAATTTAATAATTTTTTTTAAATTTTAAAGAAATTTTTGTTTGGCATGGGTTTGTTGGGGCTAGATGTGATTAGCTTTTTAGCGGGCCCCTTGTCAAACTCGCCAGATGTTGCAACTAACAACCAGCACAGTTTATTATTATACCAGAAACCCAAAGAAAAAATTAATAGTACCAAGAAATCATTTGGAAAAAAAAGCCGTTATTAGGGCCCAAAGCGTCCACGGGGACCGTTGTTACCCGGCGGTAACAATTTTAAAACCTTGCTTTTGTTTGGGTAAAAAGGGCGTAACTTAGGGTTTTTGGTGTTTTTTTTTTAATAAAACTTTGGGTTTATCCTAGGATCTCTACACATGTGTTTTTGAAAACGAAAATTCTCTGTAAATTAAATTTTGTGTATACCTGAAAAACCCTTTAAATTTGCCATTGTTTAAAAGGCGGGCGGGACGGGCGGTAGTATAGTCACTGGGAAGGGGCACATGGACACAAAATAGCTATAACAAAAAATTATAATTTTTATTTGGGCCCACGGGGTGCCATTAAGTACAATTATCAGAAAATTTAAATGAGCTTTAACCCAAACAAGTCTGACTTTTTTTCCATTGGGGAAAACAAAACTTTTTTAAAATAGCTTCATATTGACGGGCTTCTATTTTTTTTTTATAAAAATTCTTTTTTTTAAAGATTTCTTGGGAATTTGGGGAGATTTTTCTTTAGGTACATAGAAAAAAGAAAAACCCTTTTGCTACAAGAAGTAGCAGTGTATCCCGTTAAAAAACCCCTCCTAAAAATTAAAACCCAATTTTTTTTTTTTTTTTGGATTTTTTTTTAGGTTTGTTTACCAAAGAAGTTTCCTGTAGGGGGACCCAAAAAAATAAATATCTTCATTCCCTTTAAAAAAACCCTTTAAGGGGGAATGTTGTTATTCATAAATTTTAAGGCCCAATCGGAATAGCTGAACTTATTGTCCAGACTTAAAGTGATCAAAATGCCTCATTAATTTTAAAAATTCCCAAAACATAAAAGGTTGGGCCCAAATAGGTTAAAAAAGGTTTGGGGAAAGTTTGGATTGGGCAAACATAAGCCAAATAGGCCTATTTTAGTGCTCCTTTTTAATTTTTGTCTGGGGCCCGTTTAAAACCCAAACCCCGCAAGTGTTCACTTTTAAATTTTAAAAATAAAAAAAGTTTATTTTTTACTTAATTCCCTGGGGGGGGGCTTGCAATCTTTTTGATTATAGTAATAAATTAATGGGTGGTTCATTTTTTTTGCTTTAGGGTTTTTTTTTTTCTTTCCCCAAAAAAAAGGCCCCCTTGATGCTTGTAGAGGACTCTTTGATTTCAAGGAAATTTAAGTACTATTTTTTCTGGTTTTTAATAGTTTTTCTGTCAGACATGCTGTATGACTTCTTTTGGGTTTTGTGCTCCCTCCCCCATAAAAAGTAACACGACATTTAGAATACTGATAACTGACATTCCCAAGTCATCAATTGATAACTTTTTTTCCCTTTGGGGGAATTCTGTTTCTTTAGACTTTAAAAAAATTTTAGGGAAACAGTTTTTGGGAAAAAAATAAAAAAGGGGGGGAAATTTTAAAAATTTTGTTAAATTTAAAAGCCTTGCCTGTAAATTTCACATAGTTTCAGCCAGATTGTCTTTAAATCCAAAATCTGCTAAACTGGGTTCTGTTAAATTATTGTATTGTACTTATTTATGCAAGACACTGAAAATTAACAATTAAGGTTCATGATTTTTGTGCAGACTGTAGGGCTGAGGGATAACCTGAGTAATGTTGACTGAGGTAACTGATGGATGCTGGTGGTGGTTTGCCAGTATCAGAGTATTATGCAAGTTGCTCAAGCTGCATATATTTCTGATATTTCTGACCAAATTAATCTGAATAAATGGATAAATGAGAAAAACATGATTATAGACCTTTCCAGGCCAATAGTTACCTTAAAAGGAACACTGCAGTAGGACTGTTGGCCCATGCTAGGCAGGTTTTTCTCGTCCACTTGTGTACCTGTTTAGCCTTCGTAAAGTTACCTAAGGTTCTTTCTTCAATAATGCTGCTTAGGAGTTTTTTCCACTCATCCTTCAACTCCATTACCAATGTTCTATACATTTTCTAAGCCTAAATTTTTAAAACTTTAATGCATTGCTTAGTCCTGTCTTGGTTCAACATTTTCAGAATGTTATATTACCTTTATTACTATCTTCCATTTCTTCATTTCTGCCATGTCCCCTCCCCCCTCCATTCTGTGCCTTTCCAGATTGTAAATTCAGTGCCCTCAGTCTATCCATGTAGAAAAGATTCTGTTTTCTAGATCATTTGTCCATTCTGTAATAGACCAGAACTGTGCAGTATATTCAGTCAAGCTTTATCAAGGATATGTTAAGTTGAAATATAACTTGAGGGCTCCTATTATTTGTGTGCTTAATATGAAACCAAGAATTCTATAAACTTCACTGCAAACACGTGTTCACATTTGTCTGCTAACCAGAACTAAATCTTTTCTCATTCCTCTGTACTAGTGTACAAGTTTAAGATTATAGTGTGCTTACATGTTTATAATGTATCAGCAGATAGTGCATCAAACTGCCAACTAGTAGCACAATATCCTTCGCATCTTTTGATCACATGACGATTAGTCATGACTTTTCTTTGTTACAGAATTTTGCTGTAACATTCTGGGCCTTCATGTAGATAAAGATGGACTATCAAGCCCAGATAAAGCAGGTCTTCTAAATTTGAAGTCCCTGCATACCCTGGGCTGGGTACTTAATCTTCATCTGGATGCAAACTGAAAATGAAGGAAAATTTTGCAATGCATTATGAAAAATCTCCAATTAATAGTTCATGCATGAGTGACACAGGAGAGAAAAAAAAAGGGGGGGGGGGGGGACAAAAATGTAGGTACAGTCACTTGGCAGTAATTCAGAAGATATACTTATTGCATCTCTCCTCTTGTTCCCTCTCTTGTGTGGCTGTTGTGTACACTATTAATTGATTTTTCATAATTCATTGCAGAACTTTACTTCAACATTTTGGGCTTGCATTCAGATAAGTGATAATTTGCATTTAAAGTATTTCCAGTCCTGCTTGTGTGGGCGTTTTATATTTTAATCGAGAGTTCTAGAGGACTTCTGCTAATGTCAAATATGTGATTTATAGGATGGGCAGAGATAAGAGGAAAAATTTAGGATTTTCCACTTTTAGTGGATCACTAAATGTTTATACTGGTATATGAAGAGTTTGCTAATTTCTTTTGTCGTTGGTCTATGAACCTCCTGTTAACTGTGGGCCAATTCTAGAGGTGGTTCTTAATTTTTTTTAACTTGAAAAATGATTATCATTAACATGTCTGTGAAGTCCCCAATCATTTATGATAGGCTTAGTATTTTGTAATTGTTAGGCTTAATATTTTGTAATTGTATCCTGTGTATTTATTGGTGCAAGGGAGAGTATTATCAAGGCACTACTGTAAATTTTTGTCCCTTAACTGTAATATGAAAGTAAAATCTTGTTTTTAAATGTTTAGCAGTATACCTACAGAAGATATTTACTTTAAATTAATCTTTCAGTGTGTTTGCGGTGTGTTGGAGGAGAGATGGCTGCCACCTCTTCTCTTGCTCCCAAGATTGGTCCCTTGGGTCTCTCACCAAAGAAGGTTGGTGATGACATCATGAAAGCCACTGGGGACTGGAAAGGTCTTAAGGTAACAGTGAAGCTCATCATTCAGAACCGTCAAGCACGTGTTGAGGTTGTTCCCTCTGCTGCATCATTGGTGATAAAGGCACTCAAGGAACCCCCACGTGACCGCAAAAAAGTAAAACACAGTAAGTGCCTTGCTGAGTAAAATGACAAATGTACTGGTTGTCTAGGAAAGGTCAGAGGGAGGGTGAGTAAAGGAAGCTTTTGTATAAGGTGTTTAGATGTTCATCAGACATGTGTGAACATGATAGATAGGAGAGGGGGGGTTAAGTGATTTTTATGATTTGCTGTTGGTATTTGAGCAAAGAACAATTTTGAAGGGATTCCTGGAAACCAGTCGGCTAAACTAGGGTCCTCGAGGTGGGAAGTACAGTGCCTGCTCTCTGGGGGGGGGGGATATTTCAGTTTGGAGAGGCATCTTGAGCTGTAGCGTTGTAGATGAATGGTTCAAAGAACCGACAAGTTGATAAATTAAACATATGAGCAACACTTGGGTATCTTTATTGAGGAAACGTTTCGCCACACAGTGGCTTCATCAGTTCATGCAAAGGAGAGCGTTAAAGAACAGGAGTAGTTTGAGGTAATCGGTCCCTCAGCCTGGAGTTGATGTGGTCAGTTCATTAATCTTGGAAAGAATACAGCATGTGTGCACAGAAGTAGCTTACATACCGTAGGCATATAACGTTTCGCCACTGTGGCGAAACTTTTCCTCACTAAAAATATCCAATTGTTGCACATGTCTAATTTATTAACTTGTCGGTTCTCTGAACCATTCATCTACATTCCTATCTGATACAGCAACATCTTGGGATCTTAATACAGGGAATTCTTCACTTGCCTAGCCCTTGGTCATGACCTACTTCCACATTGGACAAATGTGATACCACCTACGACTGCTGCATCTCTCCTGCCTACGGTATATAAGCTACTTCTTCGCACGTATGCTGTATTCATTTCAAGATTGATGGACTGACCACATCGACTCAAGGCTGATGGACTGTTTACCTCAAACTCCTGTTCTTTAGCGCTCTCCTTTGTATGAACTGATGAAGCCACTGTGGTGAAATGTTTCCTCAATAAGGATACCCAAGTGCTGCACATGTCTAATTTATCAGCTGTGGTGTTGGTATGTCTGGGAAAATGGTGGTGCAAGTTTCTTTGTCAGGTCGCCCCCACCTGGGTTGCAAGATGGCTAGCATCCAATTATTTTAACAGCATCATACTGTATCTTTGTAGATTTAATTTTGGTATTCCTACACAAGTTTATATTTTTTATTACCAAAGGCTAATTTCATAAGTCGGTGTTATACCAGTTTCTTGTCCAATTTGAAGTATAAAACTTGAAATCCATGAATTTGTAACAGTGTATGCACAGTACAGTATACAAGTTTGTAGTAGTCAAACTAGGAACTGATGTGAAGTTTGGCAGGACATAAGAAAACATTTTTATGAAGTCAGAATATTTTTACATTTAATGTATACATTTTTTTCAGTAGGCTATACGAGAAAAGGAAGCGTTGTGGTTAAGTTGTATCATCGGGAGGTAAAGCGTGTTGGGTCACTAAGTCAAGTCTCTTGAATACTTCTAACTTACAGATTTCTGATGAGGTTTGGAGTGTGAGCAGGGTAATATTTAGTGAAGGGATTCAGGGAAACTGGTTATTTTTATATAGCCAGACTTGAGTACTGGAAATTGGAAGTACAATGCCTGCACTTCAACCCTTTGACTGTCGCAACCCCCAATCCTGAGGTGTCTCCTGGTGTCGCAAAATTTAAAAAAAAAAAAAAAAAAAAAAATTGAAATGATAATCTTTTCCCGATTATAAAGACACCAAAAAACGAAATTTGATGGAAAACTGACTGAATTACGCTCTCACGAAGTTAGCGACCTCGGCAATATTTACAAATCGGCGATTTCTCTCACTTTGAGCCCTATTTTCGGCTAATTCCATTATTCCAGTCAACCAAACTCTCGGCCATTTCTTCAGAACTCCATTTTTTCCATCGATTGAGTAGAAAAACTGCCCATTTACCGATTTCAACTACCCAATAACATGGTCAGAAATTTGCAATTTGGCCAATTTTACGAAAATTAAAAAATGACAATTTCAAAATAAGGACCAGAATGAACAATGCAGACATTCCTGGCTTTAAAATAACATTTTCTTTGTTCATCAGTCATGTCTCCAGGCCCCTCTGATATTACTCTTGCTTTTTATTTTAAAATTTTATTCAAACAAAAAATAGAAGATTTACTGTTATGCAGACTACTGCAATACTGTAATAATTGTAAAAATTACATCAACCCATTCATGACTGCATATTAGAATGGCTAGTTGGACATTTATTGGACAATGACATTTGATTACTTTTGAACATCGGCAAAAATCGAACATTTCCCGTACTTTGTGCTCCATTTCCAGGTTTTTTATAGAAAAATTAATCAAAATCACCTCTATTTCTATAATATAGTTTCCATTCTGTCAAATGAGACCAAGAAAACGAGAATACAACCACAAATACTATACGAAAATAGACCACAAAGTCTGCATTTTAATTAAAAAAAAAAAAAAAAAAAAAAAAAAAAAAAAAGGTTGGAGTTTTTTTTCTCATTATGCACTGCATGCTCCAGGATTTTTTTTTATATGGTGCACACTGACCACACAGACCCATTCTCTCACATGTGGGCCTACCAGCTTTCTCCTGCCTGATTTGAAGCCGCTAGAATTTGAGTATACAGGTCTCCCTCAACATTCACGTTTTCAACTTTCACGGGCTTCACACATTCGCAAATTCCCAACCACCAAATTCCCAGCTGTCAAATCATATTGAAGTTTCCCGCCACCTGCGAGTCCCTACTACCCTCCCTCCGACCCCCGCAACTGGCAGCCAGCCCTCCCACCACTCAGTGTGGTGAGTGTTTTGTTTGTTCATTATTTGCTATTAAACTACAGTATAAATAATGTAAACTCATTGTTATGCGAAATTATCATTATGCGAATGAATTTTCCCCATAAGAAATAATGGAAATCAAATTAATCCGTGCAAGACGCCCAAAAGTATGAAAAATTTTTTTTACCACATGAAATATACATTTTCCTACACACAGAGAAGGATACATGCACAATAGTATAGTAGTACATGCACAATAGTAGAGTAGTACATGCACAATATATATTGTGCATGTACTACTCTACTAAATGAAGAATAAATGACACCTTATTGAAGATGCAGCAATAACTGATGAGACACTGTGTCCTGGGAGTGCCTTTTCCTCCTGAGTACTGTAGGTCCTGTTTGGCATTTTCTTCCAGAACAGGCCTTATCACAGTGTGTATGCCACTACGATTCTTAAATCTCTCAAACCAACCTTTGCTGGCTTTAAATTCACCAATATGAGCACTAGTTCCAGGCATTTTTCCCTGTTCACCTGGGTGTTAGTCGACTGGTGTGGGTTGCATCCTGGGAGACAAGATTAAGGACCCCAATGGAAATAAGTTAGTCTTCGATGACACTGACTTTTTTGGGTTATCCTGGGTGGCAAATCCTCTGGGGTTAATTGTTTCTTGGTATTCTCAATAAGCCACACCAACAACGGTGGTACAGCAGCAGCAGCAGTGATGGTGGTACAGCAGCAGCAGCTGATGGTGGTACAGCAACAGCAGCTGATGGTGGTACAGCAGCAGCAGCTGATGGTGGTACAGCAACAGCAGCTGATGGTGGTGCAGCAGCAGCAGCTGATGGTGGTACAGCAGCAGCAGCAGCAAGCTGACGGTGGTAACAGCAGCAGCAGCAGCAGCTGACGGTGGTACAGCAGCAGCAGCAGCAGCTGACGGTGGTAACAAGCAGCAGCAGGGAACAGCGAGCTGACGGTGGTACAGCACAGCAGCAGCAGCTGACGGTGGTACAGCAGCAGCGCAGCTGACGGTGGTACAGCAGCAGCAGCAGCAGCTGACGGTGGTACAGCAGCAGCAAGCAGCTGACGGTGGTACAGCAGCAGCAGCAGCAGCTGACGGTGGTACAGCAGCAGCGCAGACAGCAGCAGCTGACGGTGGTAAACAGCACAGCGATGCAGCAGCAGCAGCTGAGGTGGTACAGCAGCAGCACTGCAGCAGCAGCTGACGGTGGTACAGCAGCAGCTGCTGCGGACTAGTGGTACAGCAGCAGCAGCAGCGACTGGGTGGTACAGCAGCAGCAGCACTGACGGTACGCAGCAGCATGGCAGCAGCTGACGGTGGTACAGCAGCAGCAGCAGCTGACGGTGGTGACAGGTCAGCAGCAGCTGACAGTGGTACAGCAGCAGCAGCAGCAGCATGACGGTGGTACAGCAGCAGCAGCTGACGGTGGTCGCAGCAGCAGACGGTGGTAACAGCAGCTGACGGTGGTACAGCAGCAGCAGCTGACGGTGGTACAGCAGCAGCAGCTGACGGTGGTGCAGCAGCAGACGGTGGTACAGCAGCAGCAGCTGACGGTGGTACAGCAGCAGCAGCTGACGGTGGTGCAGCAGCAGCAGCTGACGGTGGTGCAGCAGCAGCAGCTGACGGTGGTGCAGCAGCAGCAGCTGACGGTGGTGCATGCGCAGCAGCAGCTGACGGTGGTGCAGCAGCAGCAGCTGACGGTGGTGCGCAGCACAGCTGACGGTGGTGCAGCAGCAGCAGCTGACGGTGGTGCAGCAGCAGCAGCTGACGGTGGTGCAGCAGCAGCAGCTGACGGTGGTGCAGCAGCAGCAGCTGACGGTGGTGCAGCAGCAGCAGGCAGCAGCTGACGGTGGTGCAGCAGCAGCAGCTGACGGTGGTGCAGCAGCAGCAGCTGACGGTGGTGCAGCAGCAGCAGCTGACGGTGGTGCAGCAGCAGCAGCTGACGGTGGTGCAGCAGCAGCAGCTGACGGTGGTGCAGCAGCAGCAGCTGACGGTGGTGCAGCAGCAGCAGCAGTGACGGTGGTGCAGCAGCAGCAGCAGCTGACGGTGGTGCAGCAGCAGCAGCAGGACGGTGTGCAGCAGCAGCAGCAGCTGACGGTGGTGCAGCAGCAGCAGCAGCTGACGGTGGTGCAGCAGCAGCAAGCTGACGGTGGTGCAGCTGCAGCACGGGGCCAGCAGCAGCTGACTGGTGGCAGCAGCAGCAGCTG